CTGACTGTGCTACACAAAGCAGCACCCTGGAGATAAACACATCACTGTCACAAAGGATCCATCTCCTACTTGAGCTGGCAGAAGCAGCAGCATGCCATCTCCAAAACAGAAGAAGGTCAACGAGCCTGTTCTAGCCAAACATTAGGTGTGTTGCAAGCAGGTTGAGGGAGGTGATCCTTCCTCTCACTCCTGGGGAGGCCGTGCCTGAAGTGCTGTGTCCAGGTCTGGGCTGCCCAGTACAAGAGAGACGTGGGCATAGAGGAGGGAGTCCAGTGAAGGGCCACTAAGGTGGAGCATCTCTCCTGTGATGAAACATTAAGAGTGTACTGGTTTTGGCTGGGATAGAGTTAATTTTCTTCACCATATCTTGTATGTTGCTGTGCTTTGGATTTGTGCTGGAGACAGTGTTGATAACACAGGGATGTTTTGGTTACTACTGGGCAGTGTTTACAGAGAGACACAGACTTTTCTGCTCTTCACACCACCCTGCCACCAAGCTGGGGGTGCACAAGAAGCTGGGAGGGGACACAGCTGGGTCAGCTTACCCCAGCTGGCCAAAGGGATATTCCACACCATATAACTGTGCTGAGCAATAAAAGCTGGCGGAAGGAGGAAGGGGAGATGTTGGGAGATAATGGTGTTTGTCTTCCCAAGTCACTGGTACACATGATGAAGCCCTGTTTTCATGGACATGGCCTGAATATCTCCCTACCAGAGATGGAACTGCTCAGCCTAGAGAAGAGAAGGCTTGGGAGGGAAGGGGGGAGAGGGGGAAATCTCATCCATTTGTATAAATATCTGAATGGAGGGTGCACAGAGGACAGAGCCAGGCTCTTGTCAGAGGTGCACCGTAACAGGAGCAGAGGCAGTGGGCACAGACCGGGACAGAAGGCTCCACCTGAATATCAGGAAACACTTTTTCTGCTGTGAAGGTGACTGTACACTAGCATAGGTTGCCCAGGTAAGTTGTGGAGTCTCTATCTTTGGAGATACTAAAAAACTGCCTGTACATGTTCCTGGAGAACTGGCTCTAGATGGCTCTGCTTGAACACCAGTGGTGGATCAGATGATTTCCAGAGGTCCCTTCCAACTTCAACTGTTGAAGTGGAACAAAGCTTGATTATCACAAGCAGCCTGTAGCTAGACTTCTCTCACTAAAGACAGAGGAGTATGTGAAAAAGTCAAACCTTACACTCAAGTCTAAAGAAGTAATTTCTAAGCATGGACAGAGGGCAAAGTTTGAAGGTTGACTCATTCTTCTGAAGCACAAGGTTTGTGAAACATGGGTTTGTATTGTTTCAGATCTCTCACCCTGTCTCAGTGAGTACCTTCAGTGGAAATGTATTTGTTGCCATTTTTTTGTTTGCACCTAACACAGCAATCTAACAGCAGTATTTTGTTATTGCTGTGGCAGGACAAGAAAGACAGCTTGCTAGCACAGATTACAGACCAAATTTTAACAGACAAGATTGCTTGTATGTTTTTCATCTGCATGCAAGTTTCATTTTGGATTATTTTAAGGGATAACAATGAAACAAAGCAGTTTACTTTCATGGTTTCCTTCCAAAATGGGGTTTGTGATGAGAGATGTGGACACAACAATATATTTTGAGAGCATTGATCTGCATCTGTACACTGCATGACTGATAGACTTGAATCCACTATTCCTTCTCAGGAAGCATGAACCATTGAGCAGGTAACCTAATGTACTAAACTGTCTAGGTCAGTACCACTGGTTAAAATTCGTCTTTACAGAATCATTGAGGTTGGAAAAGACCTTGAAGATCATCAAGTCCAACCATTAACCCTACTCTACCAAGTCCAGCACTAACCCATATTCCCAAGCACCACATCTAGATGACTTAAACACATCCAAGGTTGGTGACTCAACGACCTTCCTAGACTGCCTGTTCTGATGTCTGGCAACCCTTTCAGTCAAAAAGTTCTTCCTAATGTCTAGTCTAAACCTTCCCTAGTGCAGCTTGAGGCCATTTCCTCTTGTTCTATCACCAGTTACTTGTGAGAAAAGACCAGTGCCTACCTCTTTACAATGTCCTTCCAGGTAGTTGTAGAGAGTGATCAGGTCTCCCCTCAGCCCCCTTTTCTTCAGACTAAATAGCCCTAGTTCCCTCAGCTGCTCCTCATAAGACTTGTTCTTAAGGCCCTTCACCAGCTTTGTTGCCCTTCTTTGGACTTGCTCTGGCACGTCAATGTCTTTGTATTGAGGTGCCTAAAGGTATTCAAGGTTTGGCCTCATCAGTGCCAGGTACAGAGGGAGGATCACCTCTCTGGTCCTGCTTGCCATGCTATTTCTAATACAGGCCAGGATGCCCTTGGCCTTCTTGGCCGCCTGGGCACACTGCTGGCTCATATTCAGCCACCTATCGATCAGAATCCCCAGGTCCCTTTCTGCTGAGCAGCTTTCCAGCCAGTCTTCCCCAAGCCTGTAGCATTGCCTGGGGTTGTGGCCCAAGTGCAAGACCCAGCACTTGGCCTTGTTGAACTTCATACAATTGACCTCAGCCCGCTGATCCTGTCTGTTCACGTCTCTCTGTAGAGCCTCCCTGCCCTCAGGCAGATCAACACTCCCTCCCAACTTGGTGTTGTCTGCAAATTTGCTGAGGGTACATTCTACCTCCTCATCAAGATCATTAATAAAGATGTTAAAAAGAAGTGGTGCCAACACTGAGCCCTGAGGAACTCCATTTGTGACCGGCTGGCAGCTGGATTGAACTCCATTCACCACCACTCTCTGGTGTATAGTATGGTTTCTCTTTAGTTTGTGCTTGGGGCACAGGAAGGTCTGAAGTCCTTATTTTGCATCCTAGGTTGGCTCAGTTGATTATTGTTTAGGCTCAAGGGCTATATTTGTAATAGTAACTTAGGGCAGCGACAGTCGTCTCTTTTGAGCCTGACTGTGGTGGCTGAGATTACTTCTGTATAGCTGAACTGTCATGGATGTAGTGAAGTGAGTCCAGTGAGGGACCATGGAGATGGAGCATCCATCATATGATGGATGAGCTGAGAGAGATGGTGTTTAGTCTGGAGAAGAGATGGCTCGGGGGGCATCTTGTCAATGTTTATGAATACCTGCCATGAGTGGAATAAAGAAGACAGAGCCAGACTTGTCTCAGTGATGCCCAGTGACAGACGAAGACACAATGGGCAGGAACTGAAACACAGGATATTCTACTTTTTTAAATTTTCCATGGTGCAGGGTGCTGAACACTGGAACAGGTTGCTCAGAGAGGTGATGGAGTCTCCATCATTAGAGATGCTCAAAACCCAACTGTACACAGCCCTGAACAACTTGCTATAGCTGACCCTGC